TGAAAGGGTCACGTGGTGACGAAGGACACTAGGACCACCTGGTAGAAAAGGATTGCCTGTAAGTACATGTTATCTTAGCATTGTATTATAGATTGTTTGGTATAGGGACCACCAGGAGAGATAGGAGATAAAGGTTCACCTGGACCAATAGGTGACAAAGGTGATATTGGTCCACCAGGAGAAAAGGGGAACAATGGAACTAGAGGAGATAAAGGAAGTAAAGGAATGGAAGGTGACCGTGGACCAAAGGGAGAGAGGGGTGGGAAAGGAGATCCAGGTATTGATGGTATTAATGGCACCAGAGGACCTCCTGGCATCGATGTAAGTAATTAATGTAGCCACTTATTTGGTAGTGTGTCCACTATATTTTGTAAATAACTTGTTGGCTTTGTTGTTTACAATTGACACAAAATTAATGTACCATACAGCAGGAAATTTTGGAGGGAGTAAAATTTGGCGAGGTGCTAAATTTTAGTGATTGGCGGATTTTAATTTGGTGAATTTGTGGCCACGTCCCATTGAACATGTGCATAATGGCTGAAAATGGTGGGTTTTTATTTTGGCAAATGGCTATCAAAACGCCAGTTTGCCAAATTTAATTCCCTCCAAAATTTCCCGCTACATGTACATGGTAATTTTTAAACATTCATTGACCACATTCGAAATTTTTTGTAAATTGGTGGAACGCCCCAAAATCCAGGAAATAATTTGGGATCGACTGATGTCTTCTTATACATACCATATTTGCTCCACTCAGTGTGGGTGAGGTATTGCATGTAGTTCAATACATGTATATTTTACAGGGAATGGATGGTCAAGATGGAGAGAAAGGTAATCAAGGTTTGCAAGGTAGACGTGGTAAACCAGGCCTCCCTGTAAGCATATAACTTTCTATTGATATATCTATTTCAATTAAAATGCATTGTTATCAGGGTGATGTGGGAAGAACTGGACCTCCAGGTGTTAATGGAACAAGTGGTCCTAGAGGATTACCTGGGAAAATGGTATTCACTATGCTTTGCTTTCATGTGTATGCATAATCGTTTTGTGTTTACAGGGACCTCC